GGCAGGCGGACTCTCAACCACTGCGCCACCAGGGAAGCCCCCAGGCCTCATTTTGAAGTTTGGCTCTGAGGGACTATTGCCCAGGTTTTCCTGGGGACCACTCCATCACCTTCCGGGAACCTTTTGCTTCATAGCTACTCTTGCTTATGTTCAAAGGTCATTTCTTTCTTTTTTTTTCCCTCTGATTTGAACTCATTCCTTTTTAGTCCTTATTCTCATCTTCATCCTTCAGCAATTTTGCATTGTTAGGAATGCTCAGTGGGGCTGGATTCATGTGTGAAATACTTGGAAATTAGCATCAGGCTGTAAATTCTGTTACAGAGTTCTTGTGAGTGAACCTGGGGCTTGCTTGCTTGTCCTGGGTAATCACGGCCCTGAGATGCAGCAGTGCTTACTTTTCATTCAGTGACATCTTGGACCACGACTCTAGGAACCAGGAGACCACAGAGTGCTCAAGGCATCTTCAAGTGCTCAAGGGGATGGGAAGAATTCAGAATAACTTCTAGGACAGCAAATGAGTATAGTAACTCCTCCTCATTCTCAGCTTTTAGGAATTCAGAAGATGCTGTTTAGGTAGCATTCTAACGTTGAAAAAAATAGTATCTCAGTTTCCCTATAATTATGATTTAGGGGGAAAAGTCACATAGCCTGGATCTTGTAGTAGGATGAACACGGCACTGTAAGTCTTGCTGGGCTACTGGTCTCAGCCCTGGTATGAGCTAGTGATCTTGAAAATCACTATGTAGCTGTGGTCTCAGTTTTCCCAACTCTAAAATGAATTGTTTAACCTAGACGATCACTCTCCAAGATTCCTTCTGCCAATCCATATAGCTATATTGTTTTCCTCCTCTAAAATCACTTTCACATATACCATTTATATTTTTTAATAACTTGTTCTTTTAGGCAGAAAGACCTTTTTCCTCATTGGTGAAATTTTAACCTGGTGATAATTTATACTGTTGGGTGGAATGGGGTGGGAAGAATTGCTAGCATTTATTGACTACCGCTGCATGACCTGGACGTTATTGGGGGAGAGTGCTAATATGAGAAGGAGAAAGTTTTCTTAAGAATAACGTGGGTCCACAAAGCCAACGGTTGTCCGTATCCAGCCGGGTTCTCTCTCCTGGAGGGTTACTTTCAGTCCTAAGCAGCAGTTGCAGCCTTTTTGCTGTCTTGCATCTGCTAGTGTGAGACACTCCTCATGCTTCTGTTTTCTGTTTGCATCTTAGGACAACAGTAGTAGCAGCAGCTGCCTTCTTGGATGCCTTTCAGAAAGTGGCTGACATGGCCACCAACACACGTGGTAAGCAGGTGGAGGGATGGCTCCCAGCATTGACGGCGCTCAGCGTGTGGGCTCTTACCCTTGGGCGCTTTACAAGAATATAGCGCTTAAGTTGTCAGAGCTTAGCTGACTCATATTTAAAAATACATAGATTTTTTAACTCTGTGGGATTCCACATCGTAGAAGCTGCAAATCGTTCTCTAGATGATAAAGTGCACGAGAAGAGTGAAAAATAAATGAAAGGAACAACTATGTATGCCTGAGATGGCTTGTTGTGTTTTGAAATTAATTAATCAGTCAATCAGTCAGTTAATTAATTGGCTGCCTTGGGTCTGCATTGCTGCACGCGGGCTTTCTCTAGTTGCGGCGAGCAGGGGCTACTCTTCGTTGTGGTGCGTGGGCTTCTCGTTGCGGTGGCTTCTCTTGTTGCGGAGCACGGGCTCTAGGTGCGTGGGCTCAGTAGTTGTGGCTCGTGGGCTCTAGAGTGCAGGCTCAGTAGTTGTGGCGCACGGGCTTAGTTGCTCCGCGGCATGTGGGATCTTCCCGGACCAGGACTCGAACCCGTGTCCCCTGCATTGGCAGGTGGATTCTTAACTACTGCACCACCAAGGAAGCCCCCTGCTTTGATATATTTTTAAACCATTTGATTTTAGGTCACTTTTAGCAATACCAGAATATTTTACATCTCGATGTCTAGAATCCATATGCACTGGGAGGAAATAACTTTATTGAATATGGGAGTGTGAGAACTCATATGACCTAAAAAATGTATGGTTGATACAAAAAAGATATATTTTATGGAGATGATAAGAGAGAAACTTGAATGCACATCTTATGTTCAGTAAGCATCAAATTAGTTGTAATAAGTTAATTTTTTCTTAACAATTGAAAAATATAGAACATGCTCTTTAGTTTAAAAAAAAGTCATGTAACGAAGTATATAAAGTAAAATCTACCCTCTCAGTACCATTTGCAGAGATTGGGCTTAGTGTCTTTTATAGACTTTTTTGCATACTTAAACACATATGGGAGAAAAATTACTCGTAGAACAATATGTAGGTTGATATATGGAATCAAATATATTTGTAAGATCTTTTTCAAAAGGTAACCTGTAAGAAACATTGTTCCCGTGCTTTTACTCCCCAGTATATTATAATTATCTTTCTATGTCAGTACCTAGAGATCTACCTCATTGGTCCTACCAGCCAAATGGAATTTCACTGTCTGGATGTAGCACGATTTAATCATTTTTCTTTTTTATTTATTTATTTATTTTTTTTGTGGTACGCGGGCCTCTCACTGCTGTGGCCTCTCCCGTTGTGGAGCACAGGCTCCGGACGCACAGGCTCAGCGGCCATGGCTCACAGGCCCAGCCGCTCCGCGGCACGTGGGATCTTCCCGGACCAGGGCACGAACCCGCGTCCCCTGCATCGGCAGGCGGACTCTCAACCACTGCGCCACCAGGGAAGCCCAAATCATTTTTATTTTGAGGAATATTTAGATTATCTCCACTTACGTACTGTTACAAGCTACACTGCAGTTAATGTCCATGTATACATCCTTTTGGAGATCTGTGGGTAATCTCTTTTAATGGTGTATGCACCTCCAAGGAAATGAAGAATCTGTTAAAAAAAAAAAAGCTTCAATCTGTTTTGGTCAGCAGCAAATATATTTGGGCTTGTGGTCATTACAGGGTGTAACTCTGATGCAGTTTGGAGTTCGATATCTACCCTCTATGGAAAGTCCAGTCTCTTGCTTAGAGCCTTTAGATATCATATTTTTTGAGTCTTTCTTGCTGGAAAGATGAGAAGGCAATAGCAGTTATTCTTAAATGCGTCTCTTTTGGGCTGGTATCCAGAATCTCAAGCTAGCAGGTCTCTGGTTTCCAAAATATTAGCATTCCATCTTGTTTCCCAAAGGGAATGGCTCTGAAAGGCCTTTGTCCTTTTTAGCAAATATTTTGCAGTAGCTATGAATATAATTTATTTAGGAAAATCTTCTAAAGCTAGGCATTATAAGAGCAAAATCAATCTAGTCATATAACTATTAAGTAGAACGTGGAAGTACATTAGAACTCTGTTGTATTTTTTTTTTTTGTTGTACTCGGGCCTCTCACTGGCCTTTCCTCTCCCGTTGCGGGGCACAGGCTCCGGACGCGCAGGCTCAGCGGCCATGGCTCACGGGCCCAGCCGCTCCGCGGCACCTGGGATCTTCCCGGACCGGGGCACGAACCCGTGTCCCCTGCATCGGCAGGCGGACTCTCAACCACTGCGCCACCAGGGAAGCCCTCTATTCATTTTTTTAAACGAAAGAGTGTAAGTCGCTATTATAATGTACATGTTTAGGTGAATAATTAAACCATAATGAAATTTAAGAGTTAATCAACACCATAATACATACAGTTCCATATTTTTTTGGTGTTTGCACTCTGGAATGAATGTACAACTTGTGTTCAGTGTGAAAGTACCCCTGTTTCTGTGTTATTGGCCGCAAAGAATTAGTGTCTAGGCATTTGTTGTACAAAGGATGCCTGACTTTCGTGAGGCAGGGTCTCCATTTTCTTCGTGTCCATGATGGACCAGCACACGGGCTATCATAGGAGTTGTTGAACTGACTGGTGTGCATTTGTCTGGGTTGCTTAAAAAAAGAAAAGGAAAAGAACAAAGGTCGGGGGAGGCTTCTCAACCCTCGGTGGCTGGTGTTGGGGAGTAGCATTCCTACACCTGTAAGCGTGCAGCCTGGTGCCCCCCTTTCACTGGAAGGCAGGGGCACGTCTTAGTTAGCACTGGCCCTTCGTGGCCCTTGCATCATTTGCTTGTGTCAACTAGGGCCTTTGAGAGCATAATGCTGTGTTACTTTCATTTTTGGCTGCCTCAGTGTGCCTCTGTAATTACTTTATAGCTTTGAAAAAGCATCTCCGGGATGTTGAGATGATAATACACCAAACCCAGAGTGAGGAGCTTAAGATTCTAAGAAGGAAGGAAATGGATCCCCAGACGACTAGATCATCTCTAATCACCTTTATTGAATACGTAACACGGGCTGGGCTCTGTCCTTTGTGCTTTACATGGATTGAGTCTTTTCATTCTCGAAACAGCACTGTGAGGTCTGTGCTTATGACCTCCATTCTAGATGATGAAATCTGGACGAAGAGAGCTAAACCGACCAAGGTCACATGGCTTGGAAGTGGGGAGACTGAAGCCTGGCCCAGAGTCTAGATTTTAACCATTAAATTATGATTCCTCATGTAAGGTGCTCCTAGATTTAGTATAAACTTAAGTTTGCTTTTAAAGTTACTTGATCCTGAATGCATTAAAACAACAACAGCAACAATCTATGTAGCACCTTGGAGTAATGAATAGATTGGGAGCTGGGATGCCTGGGTTTGTCTTCTGCTTGGCCAGCTACGTGACCCTGAATAATTTTGTTTCACTTCTCCGGGCTTTGATTTCCCCACTTGTAAAAGGGGTTTTCCCAGGACCTAGTAGGGTCCTAGATGATCGCAGGTAACCTTTTTCAGCTCTAATATTCTACGATTTAAAATCTCCTTTTGGCCCTGTTAAATCTTAAAATACGAATGAAGTTGGACAGTCTAAAATTTCTCTTTCTATATTATCTTTAGAGTTTCCAGTTTTCGCTTTGGGGACAAAGGGAGTGGAAGGAAGCAGAGGTTAAGCAGAGGATAAAGGAGAGAGAAGGTTAGGCGAGAAATACGGTTAGAAGAGCCCCGCAATGTGTGCGTGAGGAGGGCAGGTGGAAGCTGGAACTTTCACAATAGCCAGCGAGGTCCAGGCGGTCAGAGGTGGACTTTAATCAGTGAGCCTGGATTGCCGAGGTGAAGACAGTCAGTCTTCACTGACTGTGGAGACTGTCTTGATGAAGACAGTCTCCACAGCTTAACACTGAATGGCACAGTCGTGGTTCTTAAAAATACGTTGTGTTTTTAGTATAGAGTTCGTTAAACGCCACGCTCTCCTCATCTCACTGCGTGGATCCTGTCGCTCAGGAGGCTTGTTTTAAAGTACAGATTTCAGAGCCCTGCCTTATACCTGTGGTTACTGATTAACTGGGGGGTGGGGGTGGAGTGGGATGGCGCTTAGGAATCTCAGATTTTTTAAGGCTTCCCAGGAGAATAAGGCCTCTCGCCATCTTGCCGTCACCCACCTGTCCAATGACATCTCTACCCATGGCCGGCAGTTCCACCCACAAAAAAATGCTCTCTGCTCCCTGAATCCCTTAAAACCTTTGATCCCTTTCTTCTTGCACATGTGCATTCCAGACCTGGAGTGCCCTTCCCAGCCCACCCCCTCTCTGCCCCCTTTAGATGTTTGAGGATCTTCGGCTTGTCTTCCTAGAGCCAGTTTGAGAGTCACATCACCTGTGAACCTTTTGTCCCCCACCACTCCCACTTCTCTGTCCCCAGGGTAAATTGGGTCTCAGGCCTGAGGCCTCTGTAGCACCTTCTCCCTCTAGAGTGTTGACCTCCCTGTGTGGTCACCATCTTCCCCACTAGACTCAACTGCCTCCAGGGCAGGGCCTGCATCCTGCTTCTCTCTGAGGAACCCAGGTTCCCAAATGCTGGTAAGTATCTGGCATTTAGCAGGGCACAGACAGTGTTTGTAAGCAGCCCTTGGAGGGTCCAGGTGAAGAAGGCTGTCATCTCTGGGGGCAGGAGGCTGGTGAGATGGGGTCTTTGGCCAGATTCCACTTAGGAGTTCAGAATTTGAATTTTGGGACCCTTCTCTGAGGTTGAGTCTCAGGACTGAGTGAGTTTGTATTTCATTGTAGCCAAAGAGGGCCCAGCAAATCCATGATGGCAGTCACAGGAAGGGGACAGGTAGGTTAAAGGCAGCTACCTGCTCTTGGTTGGGGTGGGGGAAAAGGGGGAATCTTCGCTTTTAGGGGAGGAGGCGACAGGAAGCTGTTTTCAAGAGGCAGCCAGACTGGTTTTGTTTGCCCCCAAGTTTTACTTTAACCAGGTTGTTTAATTGAAACTTCACTGGCCCTTAACTTCTGGATTG